ACTTTTAACAGCATCTTACAGTAAGTTGTTCTAGTATTGGTCTTTGTATTAAATGAATAATTCAACATTTTAGGAAATATGTTTATTCACTTTAATGTCAAGAGTTCAATTCGAAGAACTACATCTGCCTGTTCAATGCAATGGAGCGAAGAGCTGGTTAGCATTGATTAGCATCAAGACTAGAAACAGCTAGCCTGGCTCTGTCCAATGGTAATAAAATCTGCTAACCAAGCACCTCTAAAGCTCCCTGATTAGTACATTATATGTTGTTTGTGTAAAACCGAAGCACATAACTGCTAGGTGAATTGCGTAACCTTCAAACAGAGACAAGCTAGCTGTTTCCCCCTGCTTCAAGTCTTAGGCTAAGCTAATTGGCTTTCGACTCTATTGACGCTTTCATCGGACGCGTTGCCAAGTTGATGCGGCCGGCCCGAAGTCAACTTCTGTTCTGTTTGTTTATCACTGGGTTTGTGTTTACTGGCTAATATGGTGAGTGATATCCAGTACAGTGTTTCCCATAAATTAATTTATTTGTGGTGGCCCACCACATTATCAGCGCTGACCGCCACATATTGATTTCCATTTTAAGATGGGAAAACTTGTATATGATTGCAGCACATATTTACTCAGCACCTCCTCTCACTCGCTCCCCCCACCTCTCTCTCCCGCAAACAAATTGACAGCGGACCAGTCTGCGTATTGAATGGTTAGTATCATGACCACCGCTGCACAAATGCGTCCAACGTCAGTGTCGGAGATGCCAACAATGAATGTATCCTACTAACGTCAAAGCCTAATATCTCCATTGTTGTCCAAAATCAACACTGGGTGACATGTTCCTTCATCATGGTCCCCAAAAAAGACACTATTTCCCACTATTTCTTTGTTAAAACTATAGTGACCAGCTGTTTTAAAAATCTCCCAATGGGTTGGGGCCACACGCAAGTTAGGGAAGTCAGAAAGTATCGAGAGAGACAAACACATTTATGTTTTTTGGTCTTTTCATGGTATTAAATGTCAATAAGAAAAATATTGCCAGCTGATCCAATGAACTGCATCATCTTGGATTTAGCTGTCTAATTCTGGATCATAATTATTTGTGCCCCTCAAATCTGCTGACCAATCACTGCTCTTCATTCTACACTCTGTTGAAATCAAAGTATCCGTGCCTTTATTTGTTGATTATTTATATGTATTTACCCAATTATATTTATCATTTTTCAGCACATTTGTTGTTTTTAAATGCAATAAATAAATTCACTTATAACATAATGAAAGTGTCTTACTGATGAAAAGCGTTTATGTGATCATGGTACAAAGGTCAGTTTTCTTGAATTACTGATGTAAACAAACCTTTAAGGATCAGACTATGAATGAGTTGCTGTGTAATGTTTATTTGTCTGTCCTAGACCTGTCAATAAATTTTACAGCAACAGCAGCTTTCACTCATTTTGTTTACATTTGGATCATTAAGTGTGCCTTTAAGTGATCCACTCCACATGGTTGTTGGCTATAAGGCTATGAAAAATCTCTCTGCACAAAACCTGTTCAGGGTCAACAATGGCACTTGAAACTGACATGTCATTCATCACTGAAAACAAATCCAATCATCTGACAGAGAAGGAGAAGTTTCTTTGGGCCCGCTGCCCTCTCTGTCCACTCCCCCATACTTTCTCCTGACCTTTGACCCCTGAGACTCAGACAGTAAAGTGTTTGTCTGAACGGACCATCTGCCTCTTCCTAACCTCAGCTTTTAACAACATCTACATTCCTCTGGCTGAAACCTGCTTCCGTTTGTAGAGGGCTTCTGGATACATCACTGTTTATTTTGATCTGGCCACAAGTACACAAAGGAAACGTTATTACATAATATTTTAGAGCTGCGCTTTGCCATCAGAAGGAAATGAAAGTACAGACAGGACAGAGTTCACTTTTGGGTTGATGCATGGTGATGACTTTGCAAAGGCTAAAGTACGAAAAAGATGTAAAGAATGTCACAAATATGTTGCCATTAGCTGAAAACCTTGCATAATGTTAAGTGTGTTGATTTCTGTGTTTCTGCCTTTTAACTGATGTCTTTGACATTTTAGGTTCATGAAATCCTTTTAAAACAAAAAAAAACATTAAGTCGAAACCACATTGACTTCAAGCTGTTTCCCCCTTCTTCCAGCCTTTATGTTTAGCTTATCTAATGTTGCTAACTGCTGTCTATCTCTTTTCTCAGAGAGAAGCAAATAAAGGTTTTTTCTAAAATGTGAAACCAGTCTTTTTCGTGGTGTAATTTACTCTTCTACCAAAGGTAACTCAGTTTAAATCCAGACTAAAGGGCCGTGGGTGGCTCAGTTGGTAGAGTGCGCACCCCATGTACAGGGCTGAGCCCTTGCTGCAGCGGCCCAGGCTTCGAGACCACCCTGTGGCCCTTTGCTGTGTATCCTCCAAGCGGGAAGCTTCCTGTCGGCAAACTGATGCGAACGCGGAAGTCCCTTAAACTATCGAGTGGGACTTCTATCGAACGGCCAGCAGGGTGCGACTCTTCTGGTTGCAAAAAGAAGTCCCACTCCATTAGAAATAATGGGAAAAGGACCCTACTTCTCATCTGAATAATTACCCCAGTAAACACTTTCCTAATGAGTTTATGGTCTCAGTCGCTAGTTTCAGGTCTTCTTCTAGCTAAGCAAGCGAACTAGACTATCGGCCAAACTCGAGACTTCAAAATGGCAGTCCACAAACCAACAGGTGACGTCACGATGACTACGTCCACTTCTATATACAGTCTATGGTGTCCTCCCCTCTCTCTCCCCCATTTCCAGACACTATCCACTATCCTATCACTCTCAAATAAAGCCCCCCAAAAATAATCCAGACTAATGAATTTTAACCTAATATCTAGACTTTTTTTTGTACCTCAAATCACATAATTAATACCTCAGTGGAATTCTTTACTTCTGTAAATATCTGTTGATTAAAATAGGATCTTACACAAAAACCAGCACGCACAACATACCAGGATCCCAGATTGCCCAGTGTGATTAGCCCGGTGATAACACAGTGGGAACTCTCCTTTAGGGTTAATCATGGCCGACTGAGTGCACCACTGTTGTTTTGGAGCTGTCTGCTGCTGCCAACAGTAATCACTCCTCTCATTACAGTAGCCTCAGGTCAAATAATTACTCTAAACATGAAATGCAAAATAATGGGGAATCTGACTGTTCTGTTCCGACGTGGCAAATTGCTTCCCAGACTATCGTCTGCTTTTAACGTGGGAAACAGGAAACACTTGTCTGCTCCCAAAAACGTCAGTGAGCTACAAATATTCTATGTCCTTTGTTAATTCTTCTGTCCATCCAGCAGAGGAAAAGAATCAGGTGTTTTTCTGTAAACAAGCAATAATTACTCTTTCATCAGCTCCTTGTCCATCCTGCCACCCCTCTGTTGTGACAGGCATGTTTACAATAAGTAGGCAGTCCTGCACTTTCAAAGAATGAACTTCAAAATCCCATCATAAATGTATAATTCTGTGGCTTTGTTATTAAAATGCTATGGCCACAATATTTTCTAATTAGTTGCAGTAGAGGGGAAACTACAGTATGTATGGTGGGTGCAGCTCACAAAGGTGAGCTGCCAATAAAGAGATTTGATATTAACATTTTTGCTGTTAAATTTAAAGTTAATTTGATGAAACATGCTTGACTTGATAAACATCATAAACATTTTTAAAAATACCCCTTAAATAACAGACTTGAGCTGCTTCCTCATCTTTATAGATTGGCCAAGGTGTTAACCGCAGGCCATACCCACAAACAGACACCTAAATGACAGCATAATTTAATTAAGTTTGTCAATGCCCAAGTTCAGGCTAAAATGTTGGCTAAAACTACTTTGTTAAGGTTTGGGATATAGGTCGCAGTCATGGAAAAAAGAAGTCAATGTCAGTGACAGAGCATCACGCATCGCCCAACCATCCACTTTGACTTTTTCCATAATACTTTTTTCAGCACCATAACAACTTCATTTTACTTACAGTAAGTAGTTTTAAGCATTTAAAAAACAACCAATGTTGTGAATAAAATGTAGAAGATTGCACGTTTTCTACGATAATATGGATCCAGAGTGTGATAGTACAGCACATTATGTTGTATTAGTTGACAAACAATCAGTGAAAAAGTGTTTGCAATATTGTGCACACAGATGGACAATGGTATTTCAGGTTATTTAAAGTATTTAATTCTGCATATATTGATTAATGAGTTTTTAAAGATTTATAAAGATATAGGATTGTAATCCATTATAATAGACATAAATCTGCACCTTTCATAAAATATGACTTGCACTGTCATTTCATCTGTTGTCTTTGCTTCCTCAGCGGGAAAAGCACAAATAATTTGTAACTACGACAGGAACATGACAGCCACTTGGATCAGATATGACACTGAGAGACGCTTGTGGTTTTTGACACTACAGTAAATTCCTTCTGCAGCTGTGTGGTACATATCTCCTCAGGCAGGATGTCCCAGCAACAAAAGACCCTCCCCTCTCCTCCTGTCCCCTCCCAGAACAGGACGTGAGTGGACATCCTGCCAGCAGTGGTCTCTTCCTCTGTTACCGTCAACTATTATTAGTAGACAGCCCGTATCAGCTGTCATGAATGGGCCTGAAATGATATCCCAGTCCATTTTACCAACTCCTCCAACCACTTTTTACCTCAAACCTAAAAATAATAAACACAAAAGTCCAGAAACAAGCCATCTGTCTGCGTCTAGCCAGACAAGACTTACCAAAAACAGAGTCGGGCCCACATCTCCAGCCAATAGCAACACAGTACAGGCCAGGTGTGTATATGTGCGTGTGTTTTTTGTATTTTAAGCCAAGAGGACATTCCAGCTGGCTTTTCAACCCTGTCTGGCAGCATTCAGAAGTGTTTGGGTTTAAAGATTAGTGCTTTTGCCAGTCACACAGACACATACATGCATATGATCCTGCACACTCTTGGGAAAGCGTACCTTGTGTCCAGCTGTGTTGGTCCCACTGCCGGGCAGCCCTAAGCTGGGAAGACTCTGAGAAATGTTTCACTGTGAAGAGAAAGAAGATGCTGATAAGATCAAAAAATTCAGACACATCGAGTAGTGTCCATTTTGAAATGATCTCTTACCGTAAGGTGTTGGAGGAGACACTGGAAAGGCCGGGGTAGGGGGGACGCTATCGGTGTGTCCCCGGTAGTCTACACTGTTGGTTTTGTAGAGATGCTCATGCTTTAAAAAAGAAGAACAGAATAAAGAAGTAAGAAATAAAGGAAAAAGAACAAGGCTTATGGGATAACAAGCCCCCCCACACACACACATACACGCTCTCTAGTCTTGTGATCTGTGTGTGGCTACAGCCTGTGTTTTGGTGTAAACAGTCGGGCCATTCATGCCACCCAGCCATAAGAATGAGTGCAAGAGCAGAAACCTCAACCTCTTTAAAAAAAAGAAAAGAGACACTCAGACAGAGATCCTTCAACTAATTTTAAACTCTGTGTTATCTTTTTCTTTAATATAATTTTTTGACACACAAATTTAATTTAAAGTCTGTGAGAGTTGTGTCATTTAACTCAGAGTAATGTGATTTAATCTGAAGGGGGCTGTTGTCAAGGCCACATAAACTGAGTCTCACACGAGCAAGTCCTTGCAGTATCAAACTAGGGTCAAGACAGTGAGAGCAAATGGGAGTCCGAATCTAGACTGACGTTAAACACGCTCAAGAAAAAGTCAAAAACGATTTGAAACACAATAAAAATAGGAAACAATGTCAAATAAGATATTGCATTACTTTTGTAATTGTGATTACAATTCAATATAATATTCTTGCTCAATGTTCACATAAAACTACACTAAAATGAGGATGCTTGGTTGTTACATGGCAGAGAAACATAATCACTTCACTTAACATTCAAATCTACCAATACAGACGTAGAAATTAATCTAATCTAATTCTCAGCAAGAAAGCAAATATTCCCAATGTATAAAATTCCCCTTTCCTTCTGCTTGCTGGTCTTTTTGTTTTTTTAGATTCTCAGTATTTGGTGGGGCAACATTCTAGCTTCTCCTTCAGCTCTGTTTTTCCTGAGGGAAATATCTGACTCTCTAGCTGCTAAATGCTCTAACTGCTGTCTGCTGTTTGCTGCTGGGTAGGTAGTGTGTAGTGAGTTTCTAGAGCTTTGTTACTGAAAACAAAAACAGATGCTGTGAGAGCAGTCGGAGTGAACCAAAACAGTAAAGTTTTGGGCCAGACAGATAAACAACGAGCTGAAAGTCACTATAAAGCTCCGTAAAGCCAATCCAGGTGATTATTCTCTGTAGGTTCATCACTACAAGCAACTCCTTTCATATTGTCACATTATTTTTTCATTGTCACTTGATATATAACACATACATAAAATATTAGTTATAGGTGCTTTATATTAAATGGCTTTTTGTAGTTATAGCCTATTATGTGTGAAGTTTGACTACCAGCAGTCAAAGTGGCCGTCAGGAGAGTTGAACAGGGGAAACTGTGTTTACCTGAGATGGTGAGATTGAGGGACTGTACACTGGAGAGCCTCTGAAACTCTGAGCACCAGCCGCTCTCCATCCTGGACTATGGAGACCAGCATAGTCTGTGACTTCACTGACCTGCTTCTGTTGCCTCCATCCTGATCAGGAGCAGAGAGATTAGGAGAGGGGTGAGGGAGGGGAGGGCAAGAGTGCGGGAGGCAGAAAAGGAGAGCCAGACGGTCAGACAGATTACGATCTGAAATATAATCAAACCAATGAATCAAACTCAGCCATGCCTGAAATTAAATATCCATAAACAGTTACAAAACAAACACAACCTTTAATTTTATTGACACTTTGTCATGACCAGATGCCAACATGGCAATAAAAGGTGATGACAGTGGTGCATGTTTAGTGTGTTTGTCTCTGACAAAAGTGTTGATTAGTATTTTTTGTCAGCAGAGTGTAGCTCCTATCATCACAGCAGAGACTGTGTGACCAAGCTTCACTTCCCAGTGACCAGATGGTGGAACATCATGGCGGTTTGTCGGAAAAACATGTCATTCAAAAATCAGTTGTTATCTTTTCAGCCTTTTTTTTTTAGTTTGACATCCACATTTTAGTTTTATCTAATTGGTTTTGAAAAATACTCATAGAATCAACAAATTGATAGAAAAGTGTTAGGGCTCTATCGGCTTATTTTAACATAATCTCACTTTTGGACTATATGGCGCCCGATAAATAACAATAAATACCACTAGTAAGAACAGAAATGTTTATCTTTTAACTATAAAATATAGCTTGTTCACAATTAATTCATAACCAAATGTAAGGAACCCTTGTTTAAAAATGTTTGGTTACGTTACTGTTTTTGTAAAATTGAATCTCGGCTGATATGTTAGCAGATTTGTTTCAGCTTCAAATATCCAGAATGCAGTTTTACAAAGTAGTATGTAAGTTAAAGCACTGAAATTATATAATTATATTTACAAAGGGGTACAAAAATGTATTGGCCAAGAGAAACCTAATATCTTCTTGTGCTAACTTCTTTTGTCATAGCTGCCACACCAATATATGGCAAAAAGCTTTTGTCAATGTTTTGTAAGAGTCATTTAACACTAAATCTACTTATTGTTATTGTTACTAGTTACTGAATTATACATCATGTTATTTAACTATCCACTGACTCCGGTCCCAGTCTATATCATTAATTGCCACTACAGTTGTTTGGCTTTTTCCCCATAGACAACCAAGTAATGCTGTCCTCTAGACCAAAATCTGTCTAAAAATCTGTGATATTGTACCCTATGCCCCAAAAGTGCAACGCCGCCTTTGCTCTCATTTTTCACTCTCTCTGCCACATAATGTCAGCAACCAGTTCAAGCAGGCTCAGTTCTTAATATTTGTCTTGGCTGTCAGTGAAGGTGGAGACTGAGGGGGAGGAAAGTTTTCCACTTCAAATTGTGCTTTCTGGTGGTTTCAATGCGTTTTTGAATATGTGAGAGAGCTAAAATCGGGTGGTCTGTGGGAAACTCTTGTGGGACCCCTACAACACAGGGAACCAGCCAAATGTGTCAGTAGGCTACTTTTTGGTAATTTATTTGTACCATAAGTGAACTGTCATCAGGGAAGAAATGTTGAACAACTAATAAAACTCTCTACAGTGAAGCAAAAACGTGGTAAAGCTTATCAGTCAACCTGCTATGTTTCCTGATTCTGTCACCTTTACCTAATTGATTTGCCCCATACCTCTCTTTTCCCGTTTTTTGACTACTACACTGATGTAACCACTGACTGATACAACAGCAACAGCAGCAGTGCTAATCACGACACTTGACAACGGTCACCAACACCTGTCATCATCCAATCACAGCTCACCCTCACACGCCTTAATATATGTTAAGTAACATTAAATGCAGCTACTGTGGAAATTGACAAAATAGCGGGATGTGAAGCCTCGTAGTGTATCACACTGTCAAACTTGACTCCATCTTGTGAAGAACGAAAGCTGAGATGATCACAGTGAATGTTTTAGGACCAAAGACGAGCAGGCCACTTTTTTTCCCTTATTTCATTGTGACAAAGTTGGCAACACTACCTTTACCAGTCGACAGTCAACATGCTAGCAGATTAGCTTGCTAGCAGGAGTGCTATATCTCAGCGACTTAGGTTGGTCATGGTGAGACCCTTGACTTGCAGATTGTAGCGGTTGTGTTGCTCTTGGAGTGAGCCAGGTTGGGTGACTTGTCACAATTGTTTTCTGACTGAAGACATAATAGTTTGGCAATGCTGGGTCTGACTTTGGATTGGTATTTATACACAGGAAACTAAAATACTAATGAGAAACTAAAGTTATAAACACCTTTTTGTTCTTTTACTCAGCTAAAAATATTTTAAGAAATTGTCTAATTTTACTCTTCGAAGACTAGAAACACCCCAACAACACACAGAAACCAAAGTCTGATGTGTGTGTCATGATAGAAATTCACCATGTATGGGACCACACTCAATTGTGCATATCAACTATAAACAGCAATTTGGAATATTGTGAGCTCAGCTTTCACTGTGATCATCCTTCTTCTCAAAATCACATGAAAGGCCAAGCTAGTCCAACTGAAACTAATCCTGTTACTCTGCTGCACCAGAAGGCCTGCTGAGGATTCTTCCACTTAGGTTTTTCACAGTGTGGAGTATCAAGCGATACCAACTACATTTGTTGTGTACTTTTCCCTTTTTAAGACTGAAACTCCATGGTTATGAGATGGAGATGATGTAAACACACTGGAGAGCAAAGTGTTGTGTCAAACTTCAAACGCATTCCTGATCGCTTACAAATTCCTGCCACAAAACATCACCTTGAGAAAAACAGGTTACAAACACACACACACACACACACACATACACACAGTGTAAGCAGTGAAATATTAATGTTACTGGTTCAAATATGTCCTTGGGAGATATCAGTCCCCTGACCAACACGCTGACCTGCAATATACAAACACATACTCCTTTTCCTGTGCTTAGAGTCCATGATCAGGAGAAGAACCACAAGACCTCTAGTTGATGGTGTACAAAAATGCAGGGTCAGAGGTCAGAAGCTGCGTGGCACATGGCCGTGGCTCAACGATAACCACAGCAGAGAACCTGTCTGACACGATTCAGGAGCGGCCATGGCCGTCCTCATCAGCTCTCGCCTGTCGGGAGCTCCAATATGAACCATCGGGCCACTCTAAGGTTAGCTTTGATGGAACAGCTGCTCTACATGTAAAGAGCTGGGGCTTGATGACATCACTCGAACACCTATGACCTACAGTCCTCGAACAGAAAATGAATCAGGGATGGAGGTCACAGCAGAAATGTGCGTCTTCCTCCTGGTCGCGTCCCAGTGGATACGAGAGTAAATCTGTCATATGTGCCGCCAGGATGAGAAAAAACAGTGAAGAAGAGCTGACGTTTGGAAAACAGGCATCGTCGATGGGACATGTTCAGGTTCCAGTTGGCAATAATTGGATGAATGCATTTTGTTTGGCAAGTCACAAGTGAGTCTAAAGTGTGGACAATGATGTCCCAAATCAAGTCCCAAAACCTAACTTTGTTTTGAGTTTTGAGTGCTAACAGAAACCATCTAGCAGCTAGCCACATGTGCAGGCAAAGTTATGCATAACTTTATGCCTTACTATAATTTAAACTGTTGAGTTATATAGACATTCACTCCCTGTACAGTTGCTGCCTGGTCCAAAGTCACCAGATTCATGACGAAGTACGAGTCTAATGTCAGTCTTCAGTAAAATGCACTGTATTTACCAAGCTAGCACTTTAAGCAAAAAGGCTTCACAAAGAACATAAGTAAGACTAAAACAGATATAATTTGAAACTCATTTATGGACAAAAATTAGCTTTTCAAACTCAACTTCCATCGATCCACTCCACAACCAAAAACAATCCTTTATTCTTCCACTACTTAACAGTCATTACAGTAGATCCCAAGTGCTCAATAGGAGGTCTGCGGTCGTATTCTGGGCTGAAATACGAATAAATCTGGACGCAGAACAAAATTCCAATACAACCTGACCCAGACCGCTTATCAGTGAATCATTGCTATCACTTCATACACTCATCTGTCAGCTGCTAGTAGCTGCAGTTAGCAAGCTCAATGTTGGAGGTAGGAGAGCAAGTTAAATGAACTTAAACGACATGTTCAAAACTGGCTGAACTAAAAAAAAAAGAAATGTTGACTGATAAAACCGTGTGTTAAGCATGAGTATGTATGTGCGTGAGACCCATGTCCTCATTTGCAATGATACAGTGGCCATTGTGAAGAGTAGTAAAACGCCACCACAACACCAAAAACTCCCAGAGCACAGATGTACGAACCACGAAACCTAACCAGCTGAAACTGAAGGTACTAGCAGAATAATTGTAAAATCAATCACATGTCAGGAGTGAGCAAAAGAATCAAACATTTTTACCATGAATATAGCCTCAAACTCATACCACAGCAAACTCACTAATTAGTGTCTCTCATCATACCCGATATTAATATGGCTTTTTGTTACAACTGGCAGTGAAACAGTTGTAACAAAATAAAAAAAAATAATAATAAATATATATATATATATGAATTGCATCCAATTATATTGTAGCCTGTATGAGATCAGATATCTGAATGTTATAAACCAATTACAAGATACCTGAATCCCTAAATCCCATAAGCAGTGTGTTAACGACAGTGTTAGGACAGGTTATCTTAAGAGGCACTGTTAATGTGTAATAGTAAACTGTGACCTGCTAGTCCGCTGACCTACTGATAGTCTTCAACCTTTATCACAACTGTTGTTCATGTTAGGGTCATGATCTAGACAGACTGCAGACAGGCAGGCCTGTATCTTTTTGAAAGTCACCATTACAAATTGATGTGTGAACAGGCATCTGTTGCATGCATCTCTGAACTGATAACTCTCTGATAACTTGGCCAGGAGGTTCATTTCCTGAGCTATATGAAATTTATAGTCCTGTCTACTTCCTGTGAGACGTTTGACGCAGGACACACATTATTTCTTGGCTGCAAATGTTTCACTTTATTTTACGCTTAAAATGGATTTGTGTTACAGTACTGATTGGGGGCATTCCCACATAGCATCATCAGATATGGGACAGTCAAATTTACACAAATCTATTATCCAAATGTGAGTATTTTTTTGGCAAATGGGGCCCATGCACAGGTGGGGCCTTCTTGTGTATTAATCTGCCCCGAGGCACAGACACCAGCTGTGGCTTCTGAGGGACTTGAATTTTTTTCCCCATACCAGATCCCAAATAGTAAAACTTTGCTTTTAAAACTTCCTATTCTTAATCAGGATTTGAACTATTCTATTATTGTTTAATCAGAAGTTACAGAGTAGATTCTATATTTTAGTTTGATAAAGCTTTGAGCTCTTTCCTGTTATGAGCTGATGAGAAAGTTTTTGCATTATTACTAATATCAGTGTTTCACAGTTTCCAACATCCCTGACTGAATCTTTGCTGATAAGAAGTAACTAATTTAATCCCATTCAGCTGTTGGCAAAGCTGTAGGCTCTGTAATTACGTCAGTGGATTATGTTTTGATGGCATTAGGCATTAGGCATCCTGAGTTTCACTGTGGTGAGACGTCAGATTGGTCTGTCTTGCACATACATTTCTTATGTAACCTTTTCCTGAAGCTCTGTTTATTTCCATTTAAATTAAGACAGCTTGTAAACACATCATTGTGTGGAGAGCAGAGGTCCTGATTTCACACTGCTTACATTGCAGGGATGCCCACTACCTGTTTAAAAAAATGCTTCCACCCTTTCAGCAAACACTATCCACACTAACAAACACACCTTCTGTAACAAATGCAGATGTATTCCCCTCTCTCAGGTGGAGATTTCCACAATCAGGCAGTGCTTTGATTCTTCAGTCTGGGTTATAAATGCTTCTCTGTATGTGCAGGTTGAACTGAGCTCTACAATATAATATATAAAGTCCAGCCGACAAGCTTCATCTGCCCACCAGCTTGTTGGCACACATATATTTTCTTTTTCGTGTGGCATTTCAGACAGTTTTTATTTAACAGTGGACAGTTTTGTGTAGAATTGTATGAAGGCACTGTGCAATTATAATTAAACAAGTTAAAGGGTCAGTGTACCCAAAATACATAAATGTTTAGTCATAGCAGCATTTAGCAATGTAGATGTTGGCTTTAAGTACTGAGGTTTTGTAATATCAGCCTCTTAAACATCTGCTGCCACCCTTGGTCAATGGAATGTTGTTTGTGGTGCTCTCAGCCCAGAGAAATTCCATTTGAACAACACTAAAGGCCCTATTCAAGTAAGCTCAATGACAAGTGCCAGAGCTCCAGTAATCCAATGTCTCCAGCATAAACCGGAGGAATAACGGACCTGTCTGATGTGTGCATGTCATTTGCATGTAATTAAATCAAGGCAAACACAGTGGACAGCCATGCGTAATGACATAGCATTTCATATACTATAAAGCAGCTGTAAACTCATATTAATTTATAGATCAATGCAGACTGACTTCGTCCCTGCTTTAATCACATTAAACATTACTTTGTGATGCCGATATAAATGCAGCTATTGGGGAGTATTAAATTAAAATAGTTTCTTCACATTTGAGTGATTCCAAAAACATGTGGACACATTACAACCAAAACACGAACAACTGGCTTTGCGCTGCCACACTTGACACAATCTCCCGCCTGTTTACGCTTTTCTTCCCACTCCGTGCACTGTGCATTCTGCATTGGACACCAAAATACCACACAGATGAGCAACGAGAGTTTCAAGGTCAGGAAAATACCAAACGATTGGAGCACTGTTTGCACTGGTCATTGTCCACGGCCAAGCTAGCATCTCAATGAGTCTGTACTTAGGCACAGAAGGGCTTTGAGTTAAATGCTCACAGTGTTGTGCTAACATGCTGATATTTAGCAGATTTACTATGTTCACCATCTTAGTTTAGCATGTGAGAATGCTAGCATTTGCTAATCAGCACTAATCACAAAGCATAGCTGAGGCTGATGGGAATGACATAGGTATATATGCTAATAACATGGCTGAAACATTAAAAGCAATGTGTCATTTACTCTTGAAGGTGTTTTACTTTCCACTTCCACAAAAGTAATATTTTTACTCTATGGTGTGATGCTTCTTTACGTCTTACCTAACTGGTGGGTATTTCCCTTGTGGCTGAGGCCGTTGGTGTGAAGGGAGGCACAGCGGGACAGGGGGGTACAGCGGGTTGGAACCGGAACAAAGGTGGGGTCCAAATCTAAAATCAGCTGGTTCAGCTGCTCTATAGATTCGTCAATGTCTGTGTTTAATGCCTCCAGCTCCTCTTCCTGGCAAGACAAATTGTGCGTAGCGCTGACAGACTGTATGTTGTGTGACATCTGTGTTTTGTGTGACGCTGTGTGTGGAGTCCTCGTCCGCCAGCCCTCTCTGCACTGCCTCCCTGCTGCTGATTCCTCGAGATGGTGTGTCAGGAGCAACCAGAGGTGGCGGCCTCTTTTTTCTCAACCAGCTCAACCTCTCTTCCCTGTCAACTTCACAGTAGGTATTAGTCACAACATCAACCATCTGCTGCCGAACCCAGGAGTGTGTGGAGTACTCAGTTTGAGTTACAGGCAGGTTCTCGGAGGAGAGGGGGTACATTCTGCTTGAACTTGGCAAGTCTAAAGCAGGAGCTGCTTTACCATCTACTTCATCCTCGTCATCTAATATATCAGTTTCCCTCTCGCTTGACGACGCCTCTCCATTGGTAGTGTTTCCCAATCCAGACTCATCTCCAGTCATCTCCCCCTCCCCTCCACTGGCAGCAAACTCAGTCATGGCCTCCAGAAGAGGCTGAGCAATCTCAAAATCCACTCCAGAGACTAGCTTCCCTGCCTGGGAGCACGTGTCCTGTGCAGCCTCTCTCCTCTGTCTGGCTCCGGTTTGCCCCTGAGAGGCAACAGACAGGCCTGAATCACTGCTGGCAGATGGAGCTCGGTCACTGCAGCTGGGGCTGATGGTGGCCAGGGGGAATGAAGATCCTTCCTCACTACTCCTCTTCCTCACTCTGGCACACAAACTATCAGTTCCAGGGTCCAGGATATGAGGTGGAACTGTGAAGACAAAATCACTGTGGTCAGAATAAAGTTTATTTGTTGACAGAAGAGAGAAAACAGATGCAAATGTGACCTATTTGAAGCAAGTGTATATTTGGTGTCAGAAGTGAGGGGGACATGATGACAAACAAACTACTAAGTAAATGCTACTTCATATTTATGTTTCCACCTTTCTGCATTATCTTTTACTGACATTCAGTTTTTGTCTTTTTAGAAGAACATAATAATTAAACATTTTCAAACAAATAATGTTTGATAATAATGTTAATAATAATGTTTTTTTTCCTTTATTGATGAACTTGTTAATCATTTGGTCTACGAAATAATAATAAATCCATCACAGAGCCCAATGTAACATATATATATTTTTTAAAGTTTTAGTCGGACTAATAGGCCAAAACCCAAAGATATTTAATTTGCAATCAAGAAAACCTGTTAATATTCAGATGTCTTTAAAGATTCTTCTTCATCTAGGTCATAGTTAGTGGTGGGATAGTTATTTCACAATAGCTAATATTCACATATAAGAAGCTGGAACCAGATACAGTTTTTGATAATGTAATGTAATTGATCTAATAACAGCTCTAATATGGTTTAAAAGTTTTCCCCAAAAAGTGTGCTGGAGTTCCATGTGTATGTATGTAGCCTTAAAGGTAAAGCTCAGGCCAAATGTTTCACAAATTATCATCCTATTTTCTCTAATCTGGATTGAGGCAGCTGCACAGAGGATGCTGCTCAGAAATATTTTAGTGAGTAAATCAAAATTAAACTCTAAAATTTGAACTAAACTGAAGAGGTTCGTGGCGCATATGGTTCCATACCTGCACCACTACTGTATATGATTCACTATGACACACACACAAACGCACCACCTGTTGAACCACAGCCATCACTCCAGACACACTCCATGTAGATAACACAGAGCCTCTTTGTGTGTGCTGGCAGATGCATATGTGTGTACGTGTGTCACGCAAAGGATGTGTCTGTCACAGACGTCTACCTGAGGTCAGATAGAGCTGATTGCACACACATGCACACAAACATATTTTATTATACTTTAACTGTCTGTAGCAAGTTGGAAATATACTAGAACTGAAACAGTTAATGTATTTATCACTTTATTCAATCAGTGATTGTGTTTTGATAAATGATTAATTGTTTAAGTCGTTTTTTTTTTCAAACACAAATGCCAGCTGTTCTCTTCTTGTGCTGCTTTTTTTGTCATTTATAATTGTACATTAAATATTTTGGGGTTTTGGACAAAAAGACCAAACAAATAATCGTTTGATGGAAATAATTGTCAGTTATACCCGTAAATATACTAGATTATATCTAAAACAGCAAGTTCAGTTCTGATAAAGGTTGTTACAGAGATAAGACTGCCTAGTACAGTGACTGCTACAATACATACAGTACATACCAGAGCAGTAGGAGCACAGCCTCTTAAGTCCAGAGAGGCAATAAAACTCAAATACCAGACATGCATGGTAAAATCTCACAGCTGGTCTATAAGGTCTCTCACACACACACAGATGCAGAGTACTACATTCACACACTGATAAACACACCATATAACTTCACAATACTTCAAGAACTTCATCACTTCAATAAAAAGACACACGCTACCATTCCCAACAAGCATCAAAAAGCAGCTTACTTCACCGGCAACCAGGAGTAAACTTTCACTGTTCCCGCTGAAGACTAGAAACAGGATGGAAATGCTTGCGGAAGCCTCCCTTCGGAGTCAGAGAAAGAGCAACAGATGACAAGCTGGAGGGAAAGAAGGACGAGGACAGAATAAAAAGGATGAGGGGACAGAAAAAGGGAGGCTTAAAAGATTCAGACCAAGCTTAGTTGAAGTCTCCCTTCCCTCCTCTGCTGTCGTCCTCTCTTGTCTCTCAGGCTGCCACAGGAAGACAAGCGAAGAACATTCTTTCTCTTAAGGTGCTAACAGCCCCCCCGTGTGTCCCCCCCACCCCTCTTCCTCCCCCCTCTCTCATGTCACTCCTGCACTCCTTCCACGCCTGCTCCGTCCCTGCACTATGAATCCCCGCCTTCTCCGTCACTACAAAATTAGCCTTGCCTTGCCTCCTCCCTCCCCCCTGTCCTCCCCCTGCATCCTGTCCTGGCTGACACAGGTAGGTAATGTGGAGAGTGTGCGCTCATGCATTTTTATGTCTAAGGGGAAAGCAGTAGGAGGAAAATGAAGATGGATCATTCACTAGACTGCATGCAAGCACACACACACACACACACACACACACATGGAAGAGTTTGTGCACACATGATGCACTATTAAGTAAAAAAACACAAAGCACAAGGACCTCGATCTGGCCAAATATGGTGAAGGGAATGTAAACATGGGGGCGGGCTCTGGAGAGACTTGTGTGCAGAGGGGGGATGGGGACATATTGGACAAATTGCAACCTGCAACTTGAACCTGAAAGCAACACGCACCACTAGAATACGGGAGACAGAAGAGTAGATAAAGGGAAAGAGAAGAAAGGGAGATGGTAAAAGAAGATGGGGAGATGGAGGGAGATGGAGGGAGCGGGAGGGAGCGAGAGGGAGGGGAGGGGTGTGAGTGAGCTGAGAGGGTAAAGTAGAACCACCTGTGGTTGAAAACAACATTCTTGCAACTAGCGGCATTGCTAACTGGCTGGCATCCTCATTATGCTCATGGGTGTGTGATGGCGGTTAAACGTAATGGCCATGTGTGTTCGCATTCATGTGAGCGTTTACATGCCACTTTTCAGCATTTCTCTCCCAACGCTCGTCTATCTAAATTACATGGCTGGTGGAGCAGATTTAGCAATGGCATAAAACAGCTGGAACTGAAACCGCAACCGCCAGTTTAAGTGATTGTTTCAGCTGTCTGGATGTGTGTTTTTGTGTTTGTGTTTTTCTGTGTGTGAACAGTTATTCTAACTAAATGGAAACTCTTTGGAAAACAGCCACCTCCAAATACACAGGTCTCGTCTGTCTGCTGTCTGGATGATTGTTGTTACACCCATTTCCAGGAACGTGAAAGAGGCCTCTGTGACCACAACAGTTGTAAGCTGTCACAGTGATGACCAGACAATTACCCACAGCACTGACCACATAGAAGGCTGGAGTCCAAACAGAAAGTCTAAGACTGGATCTGCACCCACAATGGGTATAACCTCTGAAGAGCAGCCAGAGAGGCATATTTCTGGCCACGTGGGGGCAGAAAACCTCCACTACAAACAAAATAAATAAAAAGACGCATCATCTTTTAAAGTTGTTATGGCTGACATGATGGCAAACTTCCACATCCAGCAGTCACAACATAATCATTAATATGGAGTCATGTTTCTGCCCCCCTGATGAATTAAAGTCCAATATTCACTTTCTTTTAGCTTTGGTTCAGTCTCCACCAACTCCTGAAAAAAATCTAGCTCTTTGCTACTCCTTTTTCTTCACCAGCTAGTCTCTAACTGTGCCCATCTGCTGCTGGGCACGTAGCGTACAGCAGGTTAATCAGTGCTTGTTTATTCAAAACAGCTGCCTTTTACAGCTGGCAACACTGAGAATGAACTATAAAGGCCTGTAAATGTGCTATAAAACCAAAAACATGAGCTAAAAGAAGGTAAAAAAATCTTTAGGATTGAAGTTACATTGCAATATTTTAGATCATATTCTAATATTCATTAATTCTTCTGTCCATACGAAGTGCGCACATAAAGTCATCTAGTTATCACAGTTTACTAACATTCTCAATATTAATTAAAATCTTTAAATTCCCTCCATAAAAGTCAACCCCTCAGAACTTCTCTTAGAAAAGAACATTTGGAAAGTTGAACCTCTTCTCATGTGTTATGGCCATGGACACAGAAAGGTTATGTTAGAGCAGAGCAGACAAGTTTATTTAGTGCCCACAATGTGCTGTGTCTTCAAATACATTGTTTCCCTGTTGAAACCTGTCTAATAATTAAGTCACACCACAGGAATTCAAAACAATGGGGAAAAGAAAGTGAAAGAAAAAGAAACAGAATTGGGAAAGTGGGGAATTCCTGAAAAAAAAGTTGAAATGCACCTTACCTGTATCAAGCGAAGACGTGCCTTGAAATGAATCTCGTCTAACCAAAGGTTCCAAGGTGTCATAGTCCACCATAACACAGCGTCCGTTGTTCCAAAGCTCTCTGCCTGTACATGGAAATGACAAACAGACCAGCAGACAAAGAGGCAGCACTGGTCAGGAGTCAGTTAAACAACACTAAGACACACACACACACACACACACACACACACACACACACCACACACAGCCTACTACGAATGCACAATAACACAAGCTGATTTCAGATCTCATTCAAAAATTGATTTAAGTTACTAGTGTGGGCTTTAACGTGGGTTTTGCTTCCACATGTAGTTGACCGTCAGTGTCTGTGTGTGTGTGTGTGTGTGTGTGTGTGTGGTTTTCCCCGCCTGTCTGTACAGTATCTGCAATCTGAATTCCTGTCAGATGTGTGTGTGTGATAATCCTTCATATTACTTCCTGTTGAGAGGCAAGGAGTGTGATTGTGCATGCTGAGGACCAGTTTGGCTGTTACACCCTCCTTCTGGTGTCCAACACTGCCCCCACCTGGGTGACTGTTTGTTGAACTTGATGAATATGTTTTTCATTCAGGAGTAGTGTGTGTGTGTGTGTGTGTGTGTGTGTTCGCACGTAGGTGTACTGCTTCAGACTGAGTCATTTCTGTGTCTTCTGCTTGAATTAGGAGACACAATGAAGCTTGGTGCGCTCTTCGTTCATCATCATCATTTGTAGCCCAAATAATGTCTGTGTGCATGAGTGTTTATTGAGCATGTGTGAGTATGTACAGTTCTGGGACTCCAGGTGTTTGTATGCATCAGTTAGAGCCGTGGTTCTTAAAGTGGGGGTCATGGTATCACAAGATAGATTTTAGGGGCCGCGAGATGATTAACAGAACAGGAAAGCAAAAATGTAAAAAAAAAAAAAAATCCAATTTTCGAAAAGTTATTTTTTTAAAACAAGGATGTATAATTCTCCTGTTGAACTGGTGATGAGGGGCCTCTAGTAGACATTTCTTTGTTTTAAGCGGCCCCAATCCAAAAACGCTGGAAACCACACAGTTTCATAGGATTTTTTTTTTTTTAAGGTAAATGTAGATTTCAGGTTACTGTGCTTTAAAGTTTCAGGTCACCTAAATTATAAAAAAAGACGTATTGGTTTATCTCTAATGGAAATGCAAATAGTTTTGATTCTGTATGATGAAATATTGAGATATCAGGGTCCCAGTTACTCCGGATAATCGAAAGACTTCACAGTGAATTGTTCATTGGAACTAATTTCCAACAAGATAGTCACTATGAAAACTTTTGTACAAGTCATTGTAAACATTTAAAGCTCCTAGATGCTGAAATGTAATTATAGCAGTTTCTGAAGTTTTTGTTGGTAAAAAAAATGAAATAATCCTGATGTGCATGTGCAATCTGTGTGTTTCTTCATCTCAGGATCCCTGGGTTGGATCCATAGAGGTGGAGGGGTTTGGTGGTACCACAGATGGTTCTTAATAAAAACCTATTCAAACCTTCTGCACAAAGCCCAGTAGCTTTAGGGACAATTCATCACATTTTATGTAGATCAGTGTTGATAATATGCAGTGAAATGAAGCAATAAATTCCTCAGTTCTTTTATTTAGCCTACAGAGAAAGTGGAGTTCACCAAGTAGCTCTTCCTGCATCCAGCATTGTCATTTGACATGACAGTGATGCAGTTGGTAGCAAAGAAGAACTGCACGCAACTTAAGCATGAATTTTTAGCTTATGCCTCGAGGTCGCCAGAGGCATGCTCTAGATGCCGCTCTCTTCGCTTGTACATTACCATTACCATCAACCTCAGCTGTCCTTTGTGAAACTGTTAGCATGCAAACACGCTAAACTATGAAAGCCCTAAGAGGCCATGCATTCATACATTTATTTACTCCGTTTTCCCGTGATAATGAGTATTTAATTTGTTTTCTCAAGATGTCGAGTTATTTATGTTATTACCTTGAAATAACAAATGTTCTATTCCCGGAGTAATGAAATAATTAATTTGACATCTGGAGAAAACAATAATGGATTAAAAATGATAGACCGGCAATAAAGCTATAGCCTTGCTAACGATCTTCTTATGACGCACACTAATGTGTATATTATCTGTATCTGCAAGGATAAAGCTAGTTCAGGCCTTGATTGAAGAGATATACTCCTGCTCCTCTGACATCGCTACACTGAATAATGTTTCCTGCAATCATTGGATAGCCTATCCTAGACTCCACTATTGTCATGTTTTCTCAAGATCTCAAATTAATTATGTCATTATCTTGGGGGAAAAGTCTTGTTATCTCGAGATCTCAAGTAAATTATCCATTTATCTCTGGAACACAACATCGTTGTTTTGAGATAATGACAAAAATAACTCAAGATCTCGAGAAAACTAATTAAATTAACTCATTACCATGGCAAAACAGAGTAAAGGAAATGTATGGCCTCTTTGGGCTTACATACTACACTAAGATGGTATAAATTGTATAGATGGTAGACCTGCTAAAGATCATCATGTTAGTGTGTTAACATGCTTACATTAAGCTCTAAAGAACTCTGTGCCTAAGCATAGACTCAAAGAGCCCCATAGCTGTACTTTTAATCTTTTTTTCCGTTGAATAACAAAAGAAGTATGAAACCTTTGAGCCAATATACTTTGGGTCCTAGATCAAAGCTTGGCAAAACCTCTGAAGAACATCTGAAACTCTCTTCTCTGTTTTGTTATCCAGTTCACTGTGGCGATGTTTTATATTTGCCCTCTTTATGTAAGTGTAAAATGTAAAAATCATTGTGAGAGAAAGTCTACCTGTAATCTTTTCAGGGCTGTCAGAAAGGAACAGCTCCACTTTTCCATCTTCTGGGAACCGGGGATCTGGAATATTATTTTTTATAAAAATCAGACAGTAAACATAGCACACTGGGCATATTTCCATGTGTACTTCACACCTGCACTCCAGCAAATCTGATAAGAGGTCCAAGGTTAGTTCAGGTAGGTTATTTACTTTGGTGGTGGGCGGCAGAAAGGCTGAAGGATTTATCAGTTACAGATTAAGATTCATATTGCAGCAGAGTCGAGAATGATAGTATCTGAGCTGGCAGTGATGACAGAAGGTTAAAATACCTTCACTGGCACAGTCGAGGTCCGCCTTGGAGAAACTGAGGGTGTGTCCGTGTACAAGGCCTGTATGAAACTGGAGACGGAAGACAACCTGGCGGCTGACTGACCGGTTATCTTTGTCATAACAAACCACCTGAAATCAGAGAGAAAATGACAGTATGTGCAACTCTAATCCATGACAGTCATGCCTTTTTGTACATAGTCAGTATATTAAAGCAAAATAACCAGTCAATTTGGTTAATGAATGAGAACTGTGGGAAGTTGTGATGTTTTTCTTAATATTTACGATGTATTTTTTATTACTTTTTATATTGTGTGAGATAAATAGCCATATTTTAAGAACTTTGCAACATATTATTCTAAATTAAATGGTCACACTTTATTTTACAGGTCAGACATTTCAAAATTGT